AAGAAAACAAAATTAAGCAACCCCTGTTTACTTACCCACAGATACAAGCAACCGTACTTTATCAAAAGCATACGGATCAAACATGCTCACTGGTCTGAGCCTGCAAGCATAGCTCCTTTCGTCTCCCATGTTTATCGAGTTCAGCATATAAGTGACCTGTCCAGGGTTTCTACCATCCCAGACTCCGCTCACACGTCCATAGTATCGAGAGGACTTTCCAATGGTATTAACGTTGTTGGATTTGTCGATAGAAACTAGAACTTCATCCAAGTTATTTACGCCTTTAGCTGTGCCCCATTCAAACCTTTGAACGTTTCCACTTAAAGTCCATGTGAAATTGAACGAAGAACCTAGAACTCCTGTCACTTTCCCTCCTCTGTAGGAAGTTGTAAACTTCACCTGACACACTACATATGAGAAAGTAAATGATATCATTTATCTTAATTTTCTATAACAATTATTGATTGTATGATTGTATGATTGATTTATACCACGCCTTTACGTAATCCAAACTAGTGAAGGTGGAGCTAAATTTTATGACATAGTGTCTTATTTAATGACTATCGCCATGATTAAATTGTCCATTTATCTTGCCCCGGCGTGGTCTCTCATCCAACGGGAGCCTGGTGAATAATTGTAAATTATAAATCAAAAGAAACATTTTGATTTTTTTCTTAAAAGAAGCTAGGCTTCTACAGGATCTGATGGGTCACGACAACAAGTCCCAAAAAACCTAAACTAGATCAATCTAGTAAGGAGCGCCTTCCTCGTACGTGTTTCATCCACGCTCACGTTACGCCTCCAACTCGTTCCCTTGCGTGACAATTTTCCATGCATGAGAGACTAATACTGAAAAGACAGACTTTCTGGTCATTCTTTCAAAGGTCTGCTTAGTATTCAATTGAATTAAAAGTAACGATCAACCAGAAAACTTCACGACCTTTTTCTAAATTTGTCTAAATTTAAAATGGAAACTTCCGGCGATTATCCCAGTACATCATTTCTGTTGGGGCACGCAGAGCATTAGCATTCCTACACATTCAAATGGCGGGATTAGTTTCTTAGAGGACGTGCAGATGAGAGGAGCACAGCTTTTATCCTCTTTATTTCGAACACGCACATAGGGACGTTTTAGTTTCTTTGAAGTCGAAAATAGAAGCTTATATAGTCAGCTTAGTGAGTGTCTTTGACTTTATTTCCTATGAAAGGGTTTTTCAGGTTGCGGTTTTTAGAAATTTAAATCGTTGCTTTTTTGTTGAATGTGTGAAGTTACGAACATAGCGATTCCTGTTATTTTTTACATCCGAAGCCTTTCTTATTTACTATCACTGTTAAACTTCCTTTAATATCGTTGTGAATCGATGGAGATATATGCTGCTCTTTCAGAGCTTCGAAATCGTCACCGTTCAGATATTCACAATAATAACATCACAGTGAAATGAATAATGGAAGATATGACTTACCTACGAGTGGAAGTGTAAATACAGCAAAATAAAATATGTAACTTGAGTATCTTAATCCCTTTGCCATCGTCCTTGGTATATGCCAAAAACTTCAATCGCCACACAATCAAAGGTTGTTATGTTGAGTTAAATTGTCGGACAAACTAGCTTTTGGTGCTGTTACAAGTGATCGACGTTACCGAGGACTCCTGACCTAGCAATGGTTAATCTGTTTTTAACGGACGTGTTCATAGTATTAAGCACGATATTTGCTATTGTGCATTCTTTGGCTTACAAGTTGCAAATCTCTCTAAATTTCAAAACGAGACAAATAGTCTAGGAACGGTGGCTGTCTTACCCAACTGTAAATCCCGGCTGTTTCTTCACCTCCTCAAAAAAGNAAAAGGAAATCCTGAAGAACTGGCGGAGAAGGTTGACAAACTTATCAATGGTCTGGATAGACTACAAGAAGGCGTATGATATGGTGCTGCATTCATGGATCCTGAAATGCTTAGAGATGGTTGGGGCTGCCAAGAATATGATCTCTGTTATTAGCAACAGCATAGCGAATTGGAAGACAGTATTGACATCAGGGGGAACAGCTCTCGGGCAGGTCGACATTAGGAGAGGAATTTTTCAAGGTGACTCCTTGTCACCACTGCTGTTTATAGTAATAATGCTACCCTTAACACTAATACTACAAAAGATGAGAGCTGGGTACAGACTAGCTAAGGACATGAAGCCCATCAACCACCTGCTATTCATGGATAATCTGAAGTTGTACGGAGCTAGTAGAGATCAACTAGACTCACTCATTCAAGTGGTAAGGTTCTTCTCAAAAGACATTAAGATGTCGTTTGGGTTAAACAAGTGTGCTGTTCTGGAAATGAGAAGGGGAAGACAAGTTGGTAGTAGCGGAATAGACTTACCCAACGACCAGCACATCGGGGAAATAGACGAAGAAGGCTACAAATACTTGGGCATACTACAGTTGGACCAGACTCTCGACACCAATAAAAAAGGCAAGATAACATCGGAGTATATCAGAAGAGTCAAGAAGTTGTGTTGATCAAAGTTGAATGGAGGAAATTTGATCTGCTGTATCAACACCTGGGCTGTAAGTGTGGTGCGCTACAGTGCAGGGATTGTGGATTGAACAATAGAGGAGGTAGCCAGCACGGATAGAAAAACTAGGAAGATCTTGACAATGAATGGCTGTCTACACATAAGGAGTAACGTTGCGAGGCTGTACTTGCCGAGAAAGGAAGGGGGAAGAGGACTGATTAGCATCGAAGAGTGTGTAAAGCGGGAGAGAAAACTCCCTTCATGGTTATCTGAGTGAGAGCACAGAATGGATACTTCTAGCTGCTTTTAAGGAGAAGATTATTGTTGAAGAGGAGAGCCTATAGGACTATGAGAAGAGAAAGAAAGACGAGAAAGTTGAAAACTGGAAGGAGAAAGCCCTACTCGTTGAGTTCATCCAACAAATATCAGATGAAGCTGGAGAGGAGTCCTGGAGATGGTTAAGGAACGAATTTTTAAAGAAGGAGACAGAAGGTTTGATTATGGCGACTCAGGAACAGGCTTTAAGAACAAATTCGATCAAGTATATCGTAGACAAGACTTCAGAAACGCCACTGTGCAGACTGCGTGGAGACACCACTGAAACAGTAAGACACATTGTCAGTAGATGCAAGAAGCTTGCCCAGAGAGAGTATAGGAAGCGCCACGACA